GTACGTGAAGTTTCGTGGCATCCCGAACAAAACGTGCCCCTTTACTCCTGGTAGCACTTCGTAGTCCGTCCAACGACTACTTAGTGTCCGTCCAACATGAACATGTTGGACGTAGAAGACGACAGCTTTTACGTCACACGTGAAGGCTACTCCCATCTGAGTGACTCAGAATGGGAGGTAGTCGGCCGCATGAGTGTGCTCATGGGTGGAATGTTGGAGTCTCAAAGCAGAGCCTGACAAGATGCTGCTATCAACAAGTTCCTACTAGGGTAGCTTGCTGTCGAAAGACATAAGATAGCCTTGCTACAACAGGAAGGCTATCATCAGTCGATGGACGAGCAAACCCATACGCGTCGACCCAAAGCCTTGAAGATTGATAATTCCAGGTACAAGGGAACCTATGAAGATTCTCTTATGTGATGGTTGTCGAGTTAGACGATGCCATCAAGGCCCGTCATATCCAGGGTGACGAAATGCAAGTCACCTTCGCCCTGTCAAATTGAACGGGACGAGCAGTGTCTTAGGCCTTAGAGCTCAAGCATTACGACCCAAACGTGTTTTATTCGTTGGAGATTTTGAAGGCTCGGCTTAAAAAGACGTCTGAGCCGTCGAGAGCCGATTTCAGAGCAAGCTCTGCTCTCTTGAGGCTCAAGCAAGGTAAGTGTGACGTGCACGCTTACGCACAGCACCTTCCCTATATTGCGAGTAGCGTCACGGAAAACCCTGTTGATGAGCACAAGCTCATCAACGTGTTCATCTACGGCCTTGTAGATGAACCGGTGAAGACCTACATGTTCCGAGAGGACTTCCATACGCTGGAAAAGGCGGTAGTGTATATGGAACAAGAAGACTCCAGCCTGTAACGGTCTCAGGCTAACTCGTCAAACTATCGTCCGACGAGACGACAGGAAACAAAGGGTCCCGAACCACTGGACCTCTGTTACATCGAGAGCGAGAACTCTCGCTCTCTGAGTCACAAGCGAACGGCAAGATGCCATCGCTGTCAGAAGATTGGGCACTACGCTCATGAGTGTAGTGTCCCTAGCCCGCAACACGTCCAAAGACAGGACGTGATGACCACCGTTGGCCAAGGAAAGGTCCAAGGTGAGGGTCCGACCATGTTGCTAACCCTCGAAAGCAAGTCGGACCGTCAAAGAACGGACAGGGTCAGTAGGGGCGGATCACCCTGCTGATCCAGCAGCGTCAAGAGAATTTGCACGACTCTTGACGAAGATTGCTCCCAACACGCAGTCTCTGTGTGTTACTGCCCCTAGTGATGAGGAGTCTCTCATCACTTTGTAGACCAAAGTGACAAGTGGAATGTCACTTCGCGCCCTTGTTGACTGTGGGGCGTTGAACAATTTTATATGACGCCAGTCGCTAGAAAATAGTAGGCTCAACTATGTTGAGCGAGAGTTCCCTCCAACGAGGATGACGGTGTGCCTTGCTACAGGAGCATCCGTAACAGTGATCAAACGTGTAGTGGGAATCCACTACACGCTAGAAGGAAAGCAGTACGATGATGACTTCATCGCACGAGATTTGGATGACAAATTTGATGTCATCATCAGTCTGCCATGGCTTCGACAAAACCGGCCAAGGGTTAGCTGGCAGCATCAATCCGTGAAGATGCCTGCCGTTTGTTGATCAGATGGCGATTTGAAAAACATATTTAGAGCGTCCACCAGCGTGCGGACGTACTACGACTGAGCACGATGGACTCACTTGTGGTACTGTCATAATTGTGACTGCACAAGATCACAGTGTAGAAGGCCACTGAACTGTGGAACCAGCTTCCGGCACCTGTGTGGAGTCACGTGCTGCGCTGAAAGTTCAGTACTCAAAGAGATCGAATGGACTGCAACACGGATGCACACCAAGAAGGGTGCATCCGAGAAGAGAGATTAGGGTCGTTCAGGATGAACAACATGTTGAAGCGATATCGAATACCAGAGAGTCGATCGTAGAGCAAGCCCGCTCGACTGAAAGAGAGTCGATCGAAGACGACGTGAACGTGATAGTACACTTAACGGAGGAAAATTTTAGCGTTCCTGAGTACAATAAATCATGAAAGAATTATGCTGACGGTGTGTATCCCCAACCACCTGCAGATGTGTTTTCCCAGGAGATCACCGAGTGAGTGAATGTCTAGGTAATGACGGATAAAGTGTAGGCGCTTATACACTTGATCTGATTACACCTCCGAAGTTTACTTCGGAGGTAGTCAAGTTGCCCACGCTTGAATATAAAAGATTCTTGCGAGATCTGCGTAGTGACAAGATCAAGCAGATCTGCGTACTCGTCCCAGCGGATGAGTAGGTTGCTGATATTCGGTCGGCACAAGTGTTTGCTGAGAACGAACGAGTTCTAATTAGCTTATCGATGGACGAGAGTGTCCTTGATGAGAAGACCCGGATTGAGCGATACACGTCATAAAGTTGGGAGTCTTTGACGACAAATCCTTTCATGAAGGTGTTAGTCGAATGAAGAGCTGTTTTCCTTACCCCGTGCTTTGCGAGTTGCCTAGGGACAAAGGCACGTCGAATGAGATCGAACTCAAACCCGGTTCGAAATACTGTGTTATGAAGCAGTGGCCACTGCCTCGTAAACAGGTCACAGCGATCGACAAATTCTTTGCCGATCGTTTAGTGGCTGGTCATGTGAGGGAATCAACATTCCCACACAGATCTCTGACCTTCTTTGTACAAAAGTTCGTAGGAGGATGGCGGATAGTGCACGCGTTCAACAAATTGAACGCTGCAACGGTACCGGCTCAAACGCCGATCCCACGGAAGGACGTCATCACAGATGGAATGGCAAAAAGTACCATCTTTTCGTCCATGGATCTAAAGGATAATTTCTAATAGATCCTCATGCGTGAACGGGATATCCCTTACACAGCAGTGAGCACCCCCAGTGATATTCTCTGGGAGTGGCTAGCGATGCCACAGGGGCTAAGTAACGCCCCCGCAACGTTTAACAGATGTGTAACGAATCTCTTGCGATCGGTGCGCGATTTTGCACCGAGTTACTTCGAAGATGTCTTTGTCCATGGCCGGGCTATAAATGGAAAGACGGACGTGGAGGGTCGTAGAATCCACGTCCGGAAGGTTCTTACTCTAATGCGAGAGCAAAAGTTGTTTGCGAAGCTCAAAAAGTGACTATTCGCAGCGAACGAAATACCACTTCTTGGCTGCATCGTGGGTAAAAACGGTGTACACCCTGATCCGGAAGAGATCAAGGCGATTAGCGACTGGCCTGTGCCAGTCGACATCAAGGGACTTCGGAAGTTCCTTGGCTTGGCAGCGTTTTGGACAAATACTCGCGCAACACAAGATGACCTGAGAATCTCTCGTATACTGTAGATAAACGGGAGGATGACCTGAGAATCTCTCGTATACTGTAGATAAACAAGATGACCTGAGAATCTCTCGTATACTGTAGATAAACGGGAGGTGGTCATGGAGCGCTGAGTGTCAGCACTCTTTGAAGGCATCAAGAAATCTTGGTGCAATCGCCTGTGTTGGCGATTGCAGATCAGGATATGCTATTTCATGTGGTCTGTGACGCCAGCGATTTTGCAATCGGCTGCGCGTTAATGCAGTACGACTCAGACGGCGTGAACGCGTCGTCTGTTATCAATAGCGCCAGCTGCAAGCACCTGAGCGTAACTACACAGTGCATGACAAGGAATGCCTTGCCACAAAATATGCACTGGATAAGTTTCGGGTATGTCTCTCAGGAGATAGGCCCTTCATCGTTTTTACCGACCATGCGTCAATACGCACGGTCGTAAACAGTCCACACCTCTAGCAACAAATGGCGAGGTGGCTGCGTATCTTTGCGGAGAACAACTTCTCCGTCGATAATGTACCAGGAAGACTTACGGTTGTCGCTGATGCTATTTCGCGTCGGCCCGATTTCGAGCCGACTGCTCAACACAACAGTAGGGGGGATCCCACTGTAGCGACACTAACAGTGAGTGTTCCATCATCAAATCTGCTCGACGACGTGCGATAAGCATTCACAGAAGATGAGTCTCTTCTGCGATTGATAAATTACGTATCAAATTCGTGTAACCAAGCTTTGAAAAGCTTGTCGTCTTAATACCGCTCGTCAACTGAACGGTAATCGGTTTGTGATGGACTGCTGTACTATACAGCAGTCAACGGCGACACACCTCGTGTCGTCGTTCCGGATCATAAGAATTTTTGATTGTGCATCATGTATGAGTATCAAGATGCCCCAACAAGTGGGCACCAATGTAGAGAAAAGACTTAACTTACGGTAAGTCGTGACCTTTACTGGCCCCGCCAGTATGAGTTTATGCGCAAGAACATTCGCGCTTGCAAAGTTTATCAACCAGCGAATCATAGTTCTTCATCCCGGGCACCCTTACAGCCTCTTCCGATTCCGGCGGAGTGTTGGCAGTCCGTATCGATAAACTTCGTCTTCGGGTTTCCAAACACGTTCATAAGAATACTGGTATTCTTGAGTTCGTTGATCGGTTCAGCAAGATTTACAATGTTGCTGTGCCGGAGTCCATCACAGCCCAGTGCTGTGCGCGTGTCTTCATCGATACTATCTTCCGACTCCACGGGTTACCCCGTGAACTCATGTCTAATAGGGACCCACGCTCCACAGCGTAGTTCTGGCAATCCGTGATTCGTTCACGTAAAAACACGTTTAAAGGTTTTTTTTATTTTTTGACCATCCAGAAACAGATAATCAGACGGAACGCGTCAATCGCGTCCTCGAAGAGGTACTTTGCGGGTATGTCCACTCATTTACGAGTTGGAGTGAGTTCTTGCCGATGGCGGAATTCACACAACAACCCGGTACATGAGTCTACAACACGTACACCGTACTTCGTTAATGGCCTACGCCATCCACGTTTACCCGCCTTCTCAAAGTGTGACTCTAGTTTAAGGGGGGTGGACTCGCTCGAGCAAACCCGATCTGGTTCTTGCTCATCTCACGTCGACAATGGTGTCGACGTGATGGATGCCGATGCCGATGGGATCGATATCGATAATGATGATGACGACGAGGCTGGTACATTCAGCATCGCCAAAGACTGCCAAAGTGAGGACGATGACACCCTCACTGGTGAAGACAACGTTCTTTTGGCACTGCACATGAAGCGCACTGCTGTTGACAAGGATACATCAGCAAAGGAATTTCTGCAGACTCGCGAAGCGGTTTTCCGCTTCGTTCAAGACTCGATTGCAGATGCACCAGACATACAGAAAGAAACGCAGACGAAAATGGAAAAGCATACGTTTTTTCATTTGATAAAGGAGACCTAGTTTTACTGTCTACAGTAAACTACCCGAAACACGCGGTGACAAACGTGGGCAGAGTAAATTACTGTCCAAGATTATCGGTCCATCTCGTTTGTTGCGCCGAAAGGGCCACGCAAACACGAATGAACTGCCTCGGAGGATGCGTACGCATCCTACATTTTACGTCGTTGTTCTCGCCCCTACTATTAATACGAGCCCGTTTTGAGATGGGAAGAACACCTCCGCGGTCGAGAGCCGAGACCACCTTCGAGTGGTCCCGTTTCAACGACCCAGTCTGGTCGACTAACGAAGCGACCTGTTCACGCAGTTCAGCGATGGCTCGACGAGATACAGCCAGCTCGTCACGAAGAGAACTAGTCGAACGTTCGTTCTCAAGTTGTGCGAACGCAAACGCGGCACGCCGTCCAAGCGGTCGTGATTTGGGAAATTGGAATAATTCCTTACAAAATAATGGAGCTCAGAACGTCGAGTCCGTTCAGGAGCCAGGTCAGGTTGCAACTGTTCCGTTACACGGTTCAGCTCTTGAACATCAAGCTGATTCGACCCTCGAGCCGGATCAGGTGTTCCCGCCGCCACCACATCCTTTGGTGGGCTCAGGCGTTGGTTAAAGCTTTCTAGTGAAGCGTATTTTGAACCACTGCGATGTGAATGGCTTCCGGACGAGCTACCTCGTCCGCTAGCGTTGCTATCCACCGGCGTGGGACAGCTGGGAGCCTCGTGCTCCGCTAATTGTTAATGTCCTTGGTCTCTTCGAGCAGTACGAAGAGACCCACCCGCTACGTTCGAAAAAGGGCCGTATAGAAACGACCTCCCCGAACGCGAGTACAGGGATCGCAAGATTTTAATCCCATCAGCCATCTCAAAAGAGATGCGCGCCCTCAAGTAAGGACCTTTCGGGAAGTGGACCTCCCTAGGTACACGGTCCGATTTGTCCAGGCAACTTGGACAAGAATCACCCCACGAGAGACAGGAAAATCCTGCCTCTCTTGAAAGCCGGTTCAACTTGTATCGCAACCCGACTGGCTTGCGTTTCTCAAACCTGATGCGAGCTGCATCAAGTTTACCGAGCCAGGCCTCACAGCCAATGCACTCGATGTTATGGATTAAGGCATTCCATCCTTGCACCAAGGCCTTACCGTCTCGAACACGGTTGCCGTAGTACCACCGATGCTTTAAAATCACATCGGTTTAAAAATTTTCCTCAGCACGTATAGTTTCCGTGCTGGAATCAGGAGGACAGATCCTCCTACAGTCGAACAACGGGATTCGATCCCGTTGGAGGGTCACGACGGCCACTCAATATAACTCTTTGGATGACAGTATCCAAGAAGAGCTAACTTAAGGAGCCTGGCGTAGAACATTGCGGTCCTTGTCCTTTTTAGTGGTGTCAGCACGAGCACTGACACCAGTGGCAGCTCGATCTCTCGAGTTGCTCCTCTCTTGGTGATGCATTTGGACATTACCACAATCACCACGCGTCCTCGTTCATATGGAATTGCGTGAGACAAAGATTCGTCAGACTAATTACTCGATCAGAAGATATCAAGCATGATGCCGCCACGTTCCCCAGAGCGATCATACCTGGCTATTGCTGTGTCCGCCCTGGATGATCCGAAGGCGGGAGTTGCCGTCATCGATTCGAATGGATAATCCGACTCGTCAGTTAAGACGAACTCTAATTCCGACTCATCAGCATTGCGAGTTGCAGAACCCGCTGCAGAAGCAGCGAGATGTATCTGTCACACGTGGTAGCTCACCACGCGGACTAGTCGCAACAGTCACTGTCTATTGCTCACTTGCAACAGCGGGCGAAGCATCAGCTGCTGCTGATCAAGAGAAGAACATTCTTCGTCTGCACGCATGCGTGCAACCGCTTATCTTGCTGATTCGGCAGCACACTGCGTGATTTTGAAACCATGCGTCGGATTGACAAATGAATGAAATTTGACCAAAATATGGCTCCCTTTCCCAGAGTGATCCAGCGGTGGTCACCCTGTCCCAGTAAATTGTAATTTATTCAACATGTGATTGATGGTTGTATATGCAGGATCGCAAACTCACATGAAGGATGGAGACATCTTCGATCCTAGGCTTCAGTGAAACCATAAGTCCGAGTCAAGAATTAGAGTTTCTCCTCCCGATTCACTAGTACAGTCTGCTACATGGCCTTTAGAGAATCCACTAAAGAGTCACCTCTGGGATGGCAAAGATGAATTACTGGATGAATCTCTCTTGGAATGGCTCAGAAAGATGGCAAAAGGCGCTATGGACACGCGGGATTCACCATTGAAGTAGAAGAGCTGCTTCTCATACCTATTGAAGATGTGCTCGCTAGGGGACGTGACAGACCCGTCCTTGGCCACATCAGACACTGATGCATTAATGTAGGTGTACTCACCAGACACACGTTCACGTTCACGTGCCTTTATCAGGCGGAATCTCCTCGCGGCAGTATTCTCAACATAGTATTCGTACCTCGCCTCCGGTATGCACACGGCCACCACTGTCACACCGTACTCTGTTGCGAATATTCTCCATTTACTGTTGGGCCTCACCATTCTGCGGAGCTTCACAGCTCCTTAAATCTGAGGACGACTTAGCGCTAAACGAGCAACTTAGTTCTAAAGAACTAGACTCAATGAGCTAACAAGCTTAAATGTTATGGACCTTGTTCCAGGGGCCAAACTATTCAATGAATTGACGACACTTAGTATTCAAGAGTAACCAGCTACCTCAGGGAGGTGTTTCTAGCTCTTAGTGATCAGCGATCAACGAACAAAGATGCCTCACAAGGCACGTGTCTTTAAGATCAAAAGGAGAGCCGAAATTTATTTACATTTACACCTATAGAATATCTTAACCTAAGTTAGTACAACTAAGATCTATCCTATCTAGTGGCTGGCAAAAGTCAGCCCCTACAAACCTATAAGATATCCTATGTCTCTTTCAGTGGGATATCGTCCATGTGTCTAAGACACAGGTACCAGGTACCCAACTACATGTAACACTGTTACACATCGTCCTAAACGCACTATAGAGAACGGCGCGTCATATAATCGACGTAATTCTTGGTCGTATTATACATAACAGTTTTGATCAATAGACGTACAGGACTCTCTCTATTATTTTGCTTCAAAAACATCCACCACCGGTCGATAATGACTAAAAGAATTGGGTTGCAGCGGCTCATCTGAATACATTAAAGCGAGCATTAGCTCCGTTGCAGGTCTACCAAATCATGTTTCGCCGCTGCATAATTTGCCGCCTCTCCATTGGTTCCCACTCGCGCCGCTGCGGGAGTCGTCGTCTCGCAATTGAGAACTGCAGCCTGTTTGGAAAGCAGAAGGTCCCACTTATCTTAAAAATTTTTTTATCGAAGTCGAATAGAAAAATGCCTTTTCTAAACTTGTTCTGGAACATATCAGATTAAGCTCATGGATAGCCTGAATGCAACCCCGATTCGAGATAATCTTGCAATCAGCTCCATCCTCGGTCAAAAGTCTAATATTCCGCATTAGCCCCAAAAGGAGCAACTGTCACTGATCAATTTAATGTAGATCACATTAAATTACTTTATAAAGGGAGTCTGTGACTACTACTTTTTAAAGAAGTGCTAGATAGTTAGGAAATGCGCTTTGCGATTCGATGCAACGTGCGATGCGTGAGCGAGACATGCGTGACGCGACAGGAACATGTGTGGTTTGTTTCATGATTTTGCGCATGGTTCGGCTTGGAACTAACGCAGAGTCTATATGTGTGCTGTACTACCTCCGATGTCGGAATTACGTCAAAAGAGAAGGTAAGGCTTTGCCCAATGTACGAATTCGCAAAAGTATGAAGGCCATGAAGGCGCTTCCGGAGACTTGTTCATGCTGAAACTATTTATTATGCTGTTTCAATCCCATAGGACCGAATGGTGCGCTTCATACATTCAAGCTAGAATAACACACTCGAATGGCTCGCGGAATAAAGCAGGACTTAGTTTGTATGTCTGTAGACAAAAAAAATTGTTAAAGCAATAAGATCTTGTGGTTGAGGTAGCTCACATATCAAGTGACACTGCTTTTTACTTTGTACCTGATGAAATATGTAGGCAAGGACAAAGACGCGCGTCATTTGAATGTTTCTTTGGTGTGCTGAGTGCGCGAGATGTGGTCAAGGCCTTAACGTTTAACAAGTCAATTCAGGAAATTTATTTATATGCAAAGACGTGGGCGTATAGTATGAGCTAGGCTTACACATTGTATGTACAGTAATTTGTATTTGCCGTCATTGTAGAATTGTGAGTACGCTATGCCATTTCTGGACCAAATAGCGGGACGTACAAAAGTGGTCTCGATGAATTTGTACGTAGGCTATTGTGTATTTTGTGAGCTTTAAAAAGGATAAAACCACAAAACAGCACATATTCGCTTGAACAGAAGAGTGCAAAGCACCTAGAGTGCCAAGCATGTTTTACTGATTCTGTAACGGGGTGAACCGTTACATAACAATTTATCAGAAATTGTTAATAGAATATAACTACAAGAGTTATATTCACAGAATATTGTCATAAGGACAAATATTCTGCAGCACTTACGAGTAGTTCCTAATTGGTTGATATATGCCATTATATCAACCAACGAAGACGCGCCACGACAGACGCGCGCAATGAGTGGTGAGCAGATAGTTGATATCCACGTTTGTATTCAGACATAGTTAGATGAGGATAAATAGTGGTTTATTGCAGACATTAACTATTATAAATACAGTTCTACTTTTTACTTAAACCAAGTACTCGCTTCTCCTTACCGTCTTCCTCTGCACGTACCAGTGTACGTGAAGTTGCGCGGCACCGCCTTATTCCGTCATCGGAATAAGCAGCTTGTACGGTCATCAGTTCAAGCTTCAGGGTGACCCGTTACACCTGGTAGCCATTCGTCGTCCGTCAAAGGACCACGTTCACATCTAACAATAATATGTTAGATGATGAAGATGATCAAAGCTTTCACGCTACGCGTGAC